AGGCGAGGGCGAGGAGGGGCGAGGCGGCAGGTGGGAGTTGGTGTGCGTGCACCCCCAACGGCAGTTGGTCGCGCCCACCGTGTGGAGTGAGGCACGGACGTTTCTGGCAAATAAGATTGAAGTGACATCAAAGGAAATGGTGTAAATGCCAGTACCTCCACGGAATGTCGGATTAAGCTATTTTTTATTGATGTATTGGAGTTAACAAATGCGTACAGTACATTTTAAAAAATATCAAATTATTTCACAGTTACTCATCAATTCAAAAATAATTTGCAATGAAATTATAAAGTTTGAGATATGGCAGTTTTAAAGTGCAATATCGCTCTGAAATTGTCTATTACATCACATGAATTTGAAATTTAATATTATTTTTGTAATAAAAACTGGAATTTTCAGAGCTATATTAAATTTTAAAACGGATATTGCAAAATTTAAAGTTTTGAGTTCCCTTTTGGATCTAGGACAAAGATATATTGACAAAAGCAAAACTGTATCAAATACGATTATTTCCACACTCGCATTGCCGTTTTTAAATTCTGATTGTTCCAAAATACCAGTTGAAAAACGTATCATGGATTTTTTTTAAATGAAACAAATGTATTAAAAACACCTTTGTGAATCGAAAGAAATATGTAAATAATTGAGCTCGCGTTATGTAGAGTATTCTTCTAATAAATAAAGTTCCTACAAAATCGGAGTGATCATTGGAAGTATTCAAAAATATGAGAAAATATAAACAAAAGATATGATAGGAGAAAGAAGGAACAAAATATATAAACAATATCCAAGAGAGAATCTTCCTCGATCAAAAAGGCCACTTCGCGCATTACTACAGAAAGGAAGCATTGAGTAAAACAGTGCAAGCCCTTTATTTTTTTCTTCGACAGCAGGAAACGGAGAGATTACTCTTTCTGTCGTTAGCAAATAGAACGATGGCATTAATTAAATCACCATAATTCTTAGCTTATATCTGTGGTAGAAAATACAGGTACGTTTGAACTAAAATTCTAGTATATATTTAATACTGAAGTCAGATTTACGGCTCTTCGTCAGTAGAAGCAAGAACATTTAACACATGTTTGTTTCTCTGACAATCATGGCAAACAATCACGAGTTGAAACGTTCGCTTCTACAGACCAAGCCCCGTAAACCTGACTTCAGTATAATATTTATAGGTGTTAAGGATTCTCGATGTATATATTTAATATATTACTTACTCTGTGATGAAGTCCTCAACAGTCGGAGCGATCTCGACCCGAAGATCCATTCTTGCACCGACTAAGGCTTCGGACTGGTTCCCTATAAAGATAAGAAAGCACTTACGAATAAAGAAATGTGGGCGTCAAGGGAGAGAAGTCGATCGTTACTGGTCTGAAATGGCGTCCACGTGTTGGTCTTTTGGCCTTGACATTAGTGACTCATGGGAAGTCTGCGAGGTGGAAATTCACCAAGAAAAGGAGCTCATGTTCCCACAAGTAACTCTCTTGACATGCGAATGAGTAGTTTTGTGCCTGATAATGCAATTTTATTGTTGTAAATTTTAATTCATCACTTTTCACAAATTTAATTTTAATAAGGAGCATTTTTAGAAAATAATCCACGTATTTGTATCTTATTTTTTATACACGACGAAGATTTTTGTATTAATTCATAAGGTTTTCTAGAAATTTTTTTGCATCTTTAGAATACTGGCTCGCTATGGCCGTTCGAGGCGAGCAGCTGCCCGCTCTCTTCCCTCATCTCAAAGTCTTCCTTTTTCTGGCCACACATCTTAACCAGAATCATTTGCCAATCATTTTGTGTTTTACACAATACCTCTTCGTCTTCTTTCTTCTTTTGTTTCATTTTATTTATCTATGACGATGCCATAATGAATGAATGCTGTTAAAAGCACTAGTGCTCTAATAGATTTATTAGTTACATAATATCTTCATTATAACACTCCTTTTCGAAAAGAAAAGTAAGTCATTGAAGCAAACGACAAACTTCTTAACTAAGAAGTTCATTGATTGATTGATTGTTTAGTGATTTCGGGCACGTCAACTACTAGGGTCGTTAGTCCCGTAAGTGTAATGTATGGTTTTGCTCGGGAGACGGCGGTGATATTTTCCCCGCTGTATGGCGAGATCTGGCAATGACCTACCGGCGGCTAGTGGGGTTTTCCACTACCAGGTATCTCCCACCAGCGGGGCACCGCCCCAGTCGGGACAAGCTCTCTGCTCCTGACGGGATAAAAATTGATATAAAATCGTAATTAAACTAGTAAGGCTTTGACCCGCTAACGCCTTGTGGTGCATAAGAAATATTCGTTTCAATGTCCCTATCAAACTTGTTTTATTCATTATTCAACTATTATTACACTTACACAACGATTACATTTATTACTTTTTACGTTTTTAGTACTCAGTTTACCCCTGATTTTCCGATGATATTTTTTCATTTAGATGACGGTAGTAAACTAATTTCTACTGAATTAAAGTAAATAAACAGTTTAAAAATGAAATAATGTTGACAAAATGAAAATTAACGATATTCATAATGCCTTACTCTTAATATCAATATTACATTGTTTAAAGACCAGTAAACTATGGTGAAACATGAAGTAAGCCACATAAACTTTACACTCGAAAAACATTTCCACCTATCAGAAACTTCTCAATACAAGTATATTTCATTTATAGTAAAATAATATGTACAAACACAAGAAAAAAGTAAAATGCGTAAATTGAATAATTTACTTACTAGACTTTACAATTATTGTACTATTACGTAATTTAAATCTTGGAAATGAACTCCAGGAACGTATCAAGAACTAACAGAAAAAATTATGACCCTCCCGCAACAACAGAACTATTTGCACCTGTATCTGGAACTCTCATTTTGTAGATGCGAGAGGAGTGAGGGGGAGGGGAATATTTCGCAGGAAGTTGCTATCAAATCAAATCTGTTCAGCGACGCACCCGTGACTTTGCTCGGGGTTACAGGCATAATGTCCAGCCAGAATGATGTTTTCTTAGAATTATTTTTTCCGTTATGATGAATACAAATGTATTTTTTGAGTTAAGGTTAATATTTATAATGTTAACAATTGATGAATGATTTTCGTTAGTGTAGAAAATTAGTAAAATATATAGTTTTGAATATATACCATTGGCTTCTGGAGCGGGAGGATGAAGCCCCACGGCCCCCTTCGATGCGACATTCGGTCATATGAATAAAAATGAGCACTTGCTCATGAGTACTTGCTCCGGAGCAAAGTGAGTCTACTCCGCGGCACTGAACAGAAGCTCTATTTCGTATGAATAAAAACTTTGTATGTCTCCGAACAACTTACTCATGTCTCGCGAGCATTTGCTCATCGTGAACAAGTGATAGTGCTGGCTAAGAGTTTTAAAAATTGGGTTCTTGAGTAACAAAGAGGTTACATACGTTACGCTCGTCGCGCACATTTGTGCGGAATAAAGAGCAATAGTTTGTTGTCTCATTCTTTAAATTAGAATATGAATAGCAGTAACCAAAAACAGGCGCCAGTGGCCCAGTTAATTTTTACCGAAATGCTAAGTGAATATAAAATTATTTTTGAAAAGAGCCAGCTTTCGGAAGTACGCTGTGGCCGAAACGAAACATTACAAAGTTTCATAAAACAGTACCCCGAAAAATTCCAAGCAGAAAAGAGCGATGGCCAATTAACATAGAAGATATGCAATATGAAAACGCGCCTGAAAAAATCGTACCAACCATACATTGTACTTTTCGATTCGGCAAAGATTATAATAATCTACATCACGAGAATCTCGCCTAATCTTGCATTTTATTAGACCGCTGTATATGTATATCAACACACGGTAAAAAATCGGCCAATTTCACCTTACCTTTCAAACGTGAGTCTGCTACTAAGGTCTCTCCGAAATTTTGGAGCAAGTGCTCACTCTAGAGAGTAAACGCTTAACTTTATTCATACCAATTCTGAGCATTTGCTCGCCAGTTGAGAGTACGCTCAAAGCTGAAGCAAGTACTCAGAGACTGAGCAATTGCTTACCCACTTTATTCATAGGAAACTGAGTAAGATCTCGGAAACTCGGAGCAAATAGTACTTGCTTACTTTTATTCATACCACCCATTATGTGTTGCTCATTTGGTGTCACAATCGTGTGTAATTCAGAGGAGCAAAGATTTGTTCTTCTGTGAGTGATCAAATATTGGCAACAATGCTCCATGGTACCTTAATTCAAATTCAACTAGTGCTAAAACTGCACATACTTTCTCGAATTATTTCTAAATTTCAAAATAATTTTCGAAAATACAAAGATTGCAAAGAAAATGAAACATGTGCCAGTCTTTTAAGCGTCTCTTGTTTAATTGAATATTAATAAGAATGTTTCTAAAGAACGGATTCATTTTTTTCTTTAAACTTTTGGTAGGGATAGTAGTAAATTCACTGCATAAGATGACATAAACGCCATTTTGCTATAATCCTTAATTTTTTAGAACTTATGCAAATGTATTTTTTTTGACATCTCTCCTCCGTCATTAATACTTACAGAACCGGCGATTTGTTTACATTATTGCATATGTGAATACAAGTACTTAACATTATGTCAAAAATGTTCTCGAAAAATCAAAACTTTTCTGTGGAAATGAACACAATTTCCGCATTTTCACAAACTATCGAACGACATATTCTCAAAAAACTTCTCTACATTTTTTTAAAAAATTTTTTGAACGGATAATGTTAAATGCACCGAATAATATGACTAATCCATTTTTTCTAATCCATTTGATTCATTCAAAATTACACAAATGCAATATTCTAAAAAATATATTTTACGTCGTTATTACTTCTTTTAAAGACGTTTTATATACATTGTTGCATTTGAGAGTAATGCTTCAAAAGATTTCCAATGAAGTTTCTCAAAATTTCAAACGTTTTCTGTGCAAATGAACTCAAATAGCATTTTTACAAACGTTCAATTTTTCACGCTCAAATATTTTCTCACTAACGGATCCAAATTTTTCAACGAAAATTTGCATACAGGACTAGGTTTTACTCTTCTATAACATTATTAAATAATATTTCATTTCTGCTGAGAAAGGGCCAAGAAATTGAAAACATGTGAACAAAATATATTAAGGCGGTAATAGATGGCAGCTGGGACGAGAGTAGGGTAAAACCTGGTACAGAGATTAGTAAACTAACTAGTACGAGAAAGCCTGTGCAATACTACAGCACCACTAGTTGTATATTTATTACTAGTATAAATATAACTAGCCGACCTGGATGGTTGAGCTGGTTAAGAGCGTGTACTAACTCAAGAAGGTCCGAAGGGTCGCAGATCCGAGTCCCGCCTTGTTTGTCTCTTGTCTTCAATGTATGTTGTCGAGGAAGGCCTCGCGTTCTGCCGACCCCAGATCAGAGGAGCCCGCAAGTGTGTTGGTGTCTAGTGTATGGTCGAATATGCATCTCATTGAGACGTAAAGGGTAACAGGATGCCGGCTGGATGGATAAAACCCCTAGCGGAAAAAATAAATATAACCAACTTTCTTTACATTCCTTTTCAGAAACAACGCTCCATTTTCGCTGACTACATTTTCGATGGCGACTGCGCTGTGTCGTTGTTCATGGCGGCTTTTTACCAATTAGACTAAATGGATCGACTTTGGTGTTCACGACGCAGCGCCGTTCGCATCATGAGCAGACTGGGCATGATGCTGTGAACGGCGCTGCGTCGTGCACACCGAAGTCGCACCGTTTAGTCCACCCCGTAAAACCCGCCATTGAGAAGAATGTCTAGGACCGGCCCTGATTGGAGATTACTTTTCACAGAGACAATTCAGCTATTCATTCAAAACAAACTACTGGAGGGAACAATATTTATGTTTGCTCCTGTCAGTGACGACGCTATCTTCTGCTATCACAAGTAATGTGTTAGATTACAAATTTCAGTAATTTCGGCAAAAAGGTTACAACTTCAAACTGGTTAAAAATTTTGTTAGACAAAATCACTCTTAATGAGTATGTATTTTTGCAAACTCATCGGAGACAAGCGATTTATTGAGAAATGAATCGGACAAAAGGACTACGTACTGTAGTTTGTTATTAATGAAGTAATTCCATACATATCGAAATTTAACTGGTTATTATGAAAATGACGAATCTCGGCGAAACACAATTTTTCATGTAGAGAAAGTATTAAATTTTAGCCTTACAGTTCAAGGTTAGATTCAACGGCTTTCTGATGCCGTTGAATTTATTGTTAACATAGGAGAAACGCAATTTTGAACTCAATATTTGGGGGCAT